GGAAATCCCGATGGATCTGTTTGGAAGCCCGAAGCCAATGGATGTAGATCCAGGTACACCGGACAGCACGGAACAGAGAACGTTGTTCGGAAGTCAGTAAGTCCTACATCGTGTACGAGTATGAGGCAGAGAAGTGAGTGTAGGCAAGACTGAAAAAGTTTCACCTCGGAACACACAGCAGCGAAAGCGCAAAAGAAGGAAGAGCGCTAACGCAGGAAAGTTTGTGTGGAATGTTTCACTAGGACGAAGTACTTGTTACTGTACGAGTCAGGACAAGGACGGTCTGACACACCTCCTTAATTGGGGGACGGTCAAAAGGTGGGTTGCACGGAGGAGTGTTTAACCCAAGGACTTGCAATGGCTAAGCCGATGCAGTCACGGGCGGAGGTATGCCCGACCGCGGACCGATCGAAGTACAGCACAAGGACTTCGAGGCAGGGTGTTGAATTCTGTACATAGGAACGCCCCACACCTTTGGTGAGCCCAGGCTACGGTATAGTATTGTATAGCTGCATACTATGTGACCGACGCAGCGCCTTTGGTTCAAGAGTAAAAGCGTGACCGCTCAGGGTTTTACAGTTTAACTAAATCGCCTGCCAAGAGAAAGGTATCCCTCGCCGGGATTGCCCGGATCGCTGCTGACAGATCGCGGAGCAAGTGTGAGCGGTCTTCCTTGTTCTGCTGAGGAGACTTCTTAGAAGACCACGCATGTTGATAGACCGCAAAGACATGCACGCGGGCCCCAAGCCACGGGAAAATGACCTGAATGAGCCTACCGCGGCGTTGCTCTCGCCACCTAATCCGTTTCTTGTCTATCTGAGGAGAAAGGAGAACCATGACACCGTCCGCTCGACTTGTGTCATGAACAGCTGGCTGCGTGGCAGCGCCTTGCTTGGAGCGTTGCCCGGGAGCAGTTTTAGCTTTGGGTGCCCGGGCAGCCCCTTTTGTGGCGGAGCTCACGCAGTGCCAACCCTCAACATCAAACTCTGCTGTTTCACTCCAGTGAGTTTCCTGCAAGACCAGAATGTCGCAGACATACTTGGCCTCCGTGCGAAGCCACGTCTTCACTTCTGCCCATTGTTGCATGCCAAGGTGCCCAGCGTTCCAGGAGAGAACACGAAGAGACTTGCTGGCACGACCGCCTTTCGGGCGCGAGCGGAAACTGGCGGAGGGACCTGAAGGACCTGAAGGAGAAATCGTGGAGCCAGACAGCACGGGGAGGGGAGGAGGGGAGGGCGGGGTGAGTCCACTGCGGCGCAAATGTTCGGGCGTCAACGTACCATTCCGGTACGGGATGCTGTCTTGTGTTCTATGTACCTTCTTGCAAGCCTTGCGAAAGGCCTTCTTGCGAATGCTCTCAAAAGAATGCTGGTGCATTGGCGATTGCGCCGTCCGCTAGTTTCGGCGAAGCAGAAGGGGGACGTTGCGAGCCTCTAGCGTTGTTACCCAGAGCCTTGTTAGCAAAGCTACACAGCCTGCTGTGATCCGTAGCGGCTACAACAACAACAAGACAAAACACAAAAAAAAACAGCCTGATAAAGTTTTCACTTCAAGGTGCTCGAACAGTGTGTTGCGAAAATGCCACGCCAGCCAGTGTTTTCTACACATTGGTCTTCAACGTCGTGGAAAAACGACACTTTTGACTAGTGGCTCCGCACACTTCCAAACACAAATGCGCAAAAATGCAGAAAAAGAACAACATTTCCCTAAACACGGTGCAAACCCTCAATGCACTGTCGCCGTGCGGTCGCGGTTGACGCCGCAACCTGGTTTATGAAATGGATCACGATCGCATCGCTTGGAGTGAGCATCATGCCGATGTTCAGGCAAAGCAAGCTGAAGAAGCAAATCGAAACATTGCGCGAGGTTCAGCTGACACGATCCAGCATACCCCTGAGACACACGTGTACTGCACTTTGAGAAAGGGCAAGGTGTACCACACCAAGCGTGCTTGCAAGTGTTTGGGCCATGCTGATGAGATCGTGCGAATTGGACTTGAAGAAGCAAAGAGCAAAGGGTACACGGCGTGTGGTGTGTGCTACGGTGAAAGTCGCAAGCCGAAGCATAAGTAACACACACCTGTGTTCTTCACGATGTTCTTGATGCAGGCGCATGGGTCGTCATTGTACATAGGCTGCTGCTTGTACACATGGACGACTACTCAGCATTTTGCCGACGATCTTACAATGACGCGACTCAACAATGATGGCTGTGGAGCAGCCTGGAATTTCATGGAAGGCGTTGGTCTCCTCACGATGACCAGGCCGTGACAATCCTTTCGGTTTCTTGTTGAAGAGATGGAGTCTTCGCGTCGGGCGCGAGATGTGCGTGAAACATAATGAATCGTTTAAGTTGTTAAACTTGTGGGCGTCCGCTTGCGTTGGTCAAACAACCTTCGTCAAAGGCCAGCCAGAGCTTGCTGATGGAAGAGTGAGTCGTGGTTGGCAATACGCCAACGTGTAGTTTGTAGGTCCGCTACTCTGTAGAACGTACTCGTACTGTTGTTGATGCAACACGCTAGTTGTGAGTTTGTTTTTTGTATCAACTGTGTTTTATATTCTTGTGTCGAATGTAACCGCTGCTTTGCATTGTTTCGGCACAAGCTACTCACAACTAGTTCGTTCATGCTCAGCATCGCATGCTTCAAGCTTTTTTCACCCACCCTCCACGCCCTGGGGGACAGCTCGGCATCGCATGGGACAGCTCGGCATCGCATGCCTTCTTTCTCCTACGGCGAGCAATGCCTCGCAACGCATCGCATCCTTTAGCAATCTCTGCGGTAAAAAGAGGGTTGTAGCCAGTACGCTCTGCCCTGCAATCCGTTTCTGCATTCGAAGTAGAATAGAGAACGCATGTGAGCGGGGTGACCAACATTTGTTTTCGTACTCGTACCGGTATCTTGCCTAGTCAATTTGTAGCTTTTGGACCGCCGTTTTTAGATGTTATCACACGGTTTCTACCAATCTCAGGGTTTGCGCGAAAAGGTTCGTCTGTTCAGGGGCTCTGGCAGGTGCCGGGCCACAGTGGCAATGTTTTTTGTTAAGCTGTATCGCGAGGAATCTGTTTTCCTGCGTGACCGTCAGAGTTTGAGGCTTTTCGGTTTAGGGTTTTCTGAAGAGGGCATGAGAGTCAATCCGACGCCTGCACCCCGCGGCCGCGACAGGCTCGAAGCCGAACCGTCCATGATGTCCAGGTATAGGTAAGTGACTGTCCCAGCCATGCTGGCTCTTTTCCTGTCGGCGCTGCCTGCCGTCTTTCTGGCATCTCGAGAGGAGCCTGAAACAACGATGCCACTGCAGCTGCTCCAGCACCAGTCGGTCCTCCAACGGACGGAGGAATGGCGCTTGAAAGTTTGGCCAATGGAGTGGGTTCACTTCCCGAAGGCCGGCAGCTCCTTCATCAACGCCATTACCCACCTGCCCGGCAACTGCCCATCTCTTGCCAACTACCTCAACCAGGACACGGTCAGCGGCGGCACCTGCTGGCTGTCTGACTGGCTTGAAAATGATTGTGTGCGTGTGTGCAATGGGAACAGGTACTCATGCCCTCAGGGGGGCTGCCCACACCTCCCGGTGACCAACTACTCTGCCCAGCGGGGCCACCTGGTGGGAATGTTCCGCGATCCGGATCAGCGTATCCTTTCGGGCTACCACGATGATGGGAACAATTTTGCTTCCTTCACAAAGGAGAACTTCGGGATTCTCAAACAAATATCAAAATGCAAGGGAGATAATCTGAGAGGAGTGCCTAAGAGACCGCTCTTAGAGTTTGCCGAGAGGTGGAAGGGCGCAATGACGTACCAGCTCGTTCCCACAGACCCAGCCACATTAGTACTGGATCCGACGCGGCACAAAATGACGAGAGCGGACGGCTTGGAGGCCGCGCAGAGGGTGCGGGAGGGCTTCGCCTTCGTGGGGATCACGGAAGAATGGGATTTGTCCATCTGCCTTTTTCACAAGATGTTCGGAGGAGCATGTCATGCCGAGGAGTTCGAAGACACAAGGCCCGGCTTTACCGGGAAGAGCGCAGACAAAGATTACGACATCTCCCAGTTTCAGGGCTGGCATGATGATATCGACGAAGTGGTGTATGCCGCCGCTTTGGACGTCTTTCGCCGAAACCTCATCATGTTCGACGTCTCGCAAGAGACCTGTCGGGAGTGTTACAGTGCAGCTACAGTCACACACGGAGAGACTTAGCCACTCGGACTGGCGCACGCAGTAAGAGTGGGGGCTTGCGCGGACAGCCTTGAGATGAAGGCGGTGAAATGGACTTTGGGTCGTGATTTTGGGGTTGATCACAAGTGTCATACCCTAGTAGCGGCTTGAAGCCCAAGGATGTAAGTTAGCAGGTGAGCTTCCTTGGAGTGGCGTAGTTTTTCGGTGAAATTGTCCGTTCTGCCATGCTATGCGATGCTCATGAGCTGCGTTCAGGGCAAACGTTCGAAATCCTCCCTGCTTTTTGTGACCCGCAAGCCCCCGACCTCGCCCCCGACCTGCTCCATCGAAGGCTCTCATGAAGACAACCCACAACCCCGGCGGCCAATGGCAGAAACGACCAGAAACGCTAGGGGCCTGCAAGGAGAACGTCCTGGCGGGTTTTCTGGCAGGTTTCGGGCTTGAGGTTCCGAGTCTATTAGAGTTTGCTAATCACGGAAATGCGTTCACGCTGGGATTCTGGCATTTTAGGAAGTTTGTTAGCACACTTGTGCCACGGCACTCAGGCTTGAGATTTGGTGGCTTCGGGTTGTGGCCTTTTTGTAGAGACACAGGAACATTCCGAGTTTCACGCTGAAGAGCACTCGATTGCCGAGTGGATCCGGCAGAGCGGGCATTGGCGGCGTTTGCGGGGCGTGCTTCAGGATTTGTCAGCAGGTTTGAGCACTTGCAGACTCACAGCCCCGCACCGAAGCTTCGAAGCAGGACCGTTTTGACGACAGCCCCCCTCATCTGTGTAGAATCCCGCCAGAAGCTCAGCATCTCCAGGTTCAAAGTCCATAGATGCTTAATCCACACACTTGGAGTCCCTTGTGTGCCATGCACACCTCCATGTGGGGCCGTGCGCTCAAGCTCTTGGTGCTGACGGCGGCAGTTTCTGCTCAAAACTGCACAGATGCGGATGCTGAAAGAGCCTCAGCTGAGCTCAAGGTTTCCAGGGTCGCGAAGAGCCCCCCGGATCCAGGCTGACACAACTGGATTCTTCAGGGCAGGGTCACTGCCACGGTTTGCGATCGTTTCTCAGGTGAACGCTGTCAGGAGGTTTCTTTGCTCCAGCCCCTGTGCTGCACGTATGGCGCAGTAAAGGGCTTGGGGCTCAGCTCAGTCCAGTGTGGTGGCCGTTAACCCGTCACGCTGGTAATACCTAGTCATATTCAAGCGGACAGCCTGCAAGAGAGCTGGCATTCATGACTCGGACAGTGTGCACTGGAGACTTCGGCAAGCGCTCTAAGGTCTGCCAGATCTCTCTTCCGCAACGAAGTGGCCACGGAAGAAGAGCAACAAGTGCGTGAGCAGCAATATGAACACCGAAGCAGTCAATTTCCCATGTCACATGCCTGATCCCTCGTGAGACACCGTCCGATCTCAGGCTCACTCCCAGAGCTTCAGGAGTACGTTGTCGTCAAGCCACAAGAAGCTGAAGTGGCAACTACTTCGAAGCTTTCCCGCAGTGGAGCTTCAAGCGAACCCTGCCTGCAGCAACATCGGGCGCAGGTTTCCAATCATGGTGTCACGCGCCCTTGCTGCACGAATTGTTTCAGAGATTCGGAGCAGTGCCCCTGAATTCGTTCGTGTCGCGACTTGATAGTGTAGCAGCTCAGGCAACCAGTCTTTGCTGGATGAATACGCCAAGTATGCCTGCGGAGATGGCGGGGACTACTTTGTGACGGACCCAACCCGAAGCCTGCACGCCGAACTGGCACCTCTGGAGGCTGGATGCATTAACCTGCCACTTGGACTCGATTTTGCAAAGGGCTTGCTCTTCCTTTCGCCTGAGCTTTCGCTTTTGCCTTTTTGAGGGTTTAGGTCTTAGCGTCGAGTCTGGGCCTCGCAAGGCTTTTTACGGGCTGAGGCAAGACCGGTGGAGGACCATGAGGACGACCTTCGCATCGAATGCTAGCCATGGCGAGTACCTGTACAGGCCAAGGGACTCCGAGTAAGCCTAGGAGCCGGGCCTTGGCGAAGTCACTAGCCGCACTAGCCTGACTTAACATCAAATTGGGAGTTTCCGAAAGCAGGGGACCCTAATATAGTACCCTAAATAGTGGGATCCCAAAATAAGGTACCCCCTATTTTCGGAAACTCCCAATTAAAGGCTTGCGAAGCGGTCTATTCATGATCCACCTGGCACCCCCCTGCGCAGCCTGGTCAGGGACTGCCCGGAGAGCTGTTTGCAGGAGGAGTTCTGGCACCGGCTGCCCACGCAAGTCGTAGACCAGGACCTGCTCCTTGGCTTTGTGGAATGGGTCGATTATACCATATACTCATGTATATGTGTGTGTGTGTATATATATATATATATGCTACACCCCCCCGATGTACCTACACTTTTGCCGCCTTCATGAAGCAATGTCTTGTCCAATCCAAGGTGAGGCCTAAGAAGACATAGGAATTAGTATCTCGTGTGCTACCCCTACAAGACCAACCTCGACCGTGTGAGTGATCAGCTGTGTCTCTGTGCTGTTGCACATGGAAGCCGGGAACCGTGTAAATACAGGTGGATTTCGTGTTCGTGGACACTATCTCGATACGTCTTGCTGGAGTTGGTTTAAAAAAGAGTCAACATACCAGTGTACCACTATATCAATGTACTAATATGCTACAAAACTAATATACGCATATATGAATACAGTAATATACTAGTATACGAATAGACGAAAATTGTAGTATACGCTAAAACTTAATGTATGCATATGCTACTATATTAAAGCTGATTATTCGATAGATTGATGAGCCGTATGTTTATATTGTGGTTCAATAGTATGTATATGAGTGTACGTGTACAAGTATAGATGTATATGTACACTAGTACTCGTATGAATAGTAAGATGAATATCAACATTGTTTGGATATGATTATCAGTATTGGTAGGAGATTTTATAATATCACTATTAATGTAAGTATTCATACTAGTGTTCATAACAGTATTATGCATATTGGTATTAGCCTGAGTATCAATGCTACAGTTGGTACTGATATTCAAACTATGAGCATAAACACTAGCCTGGAGAACACTTAACAAGGATATGAGTATTCACATCCGTTGGAGTATCAAACCCGATATTGGAATTAGTATTAGCATAATAATGCCAGTGTGTAATTTAGTTTTAGTATTAAGACTTGTATGATAATGACTATTTGCATTCGTAGAAAAAGTCAGTCCTTCATATTAGTACTACTATAACTATTCATGTTAGTATTAACAAACAAACTAAAGTATTGTGCGGCTCGAGCTTGAGACAGCAGCTGCGAGACTAGGGCTTGCAGTTCAGAGGCCGACTTCATTGGGACCCTCATGCTTTTGGACTGTGGGAAATCACAATGTTTAACATGGGCGCAAAACATTGGGACCTCTCATGCTTTCGGGGACTCCGGAGTACGAAAGTGCTGGGAGGTCACAATGTTTTGTGCTATACGGGCCCAAAACATCGGGACCTCTCATGGTCTTGAACCCCTGAGATGCGAAAACCATGAGAGGTCCCAATGTTTTGGGGTTGTGTACCTGAACAAGAGAAGCAGAAAAGGGTAGGTACAGGGGGTGGCACCATATATATATATATATACATAATATATATATATATATATATATATATATATATATATATATATTTACATACATACATACACACACACACACACACTTTGTACACGCGATAACGTATAAACCCTTTACTCTGCATCTGGTGCACTTCATACGATGCTATACTAGACTGTATTGTGCTCTGTGCTATGCGTCATCATGTGTGATTATACATTGTGCCCCGGTAATTCTGGTGCTGTGTTGTAGAACCTTGTGGAATCATGATGTAGCAGCAAGACGCACGACGTATGACATAGTTTTTCCATATTGTGCGCTCGTGGTATACCATTACACATCACTGCACCTTTGCCTCAACCTACACTGTGAGCTGTAACCTTGGCGCCACGACCAGACATCTAAACCTCACCACCAGATGAAGCCCTAAGCCTGAGTTGATGCCCCATTCCCCTTGCTGAAGGCTGGTGCTCCCGAGCATCCGCGAGCCACCGGGGCCCCGCTGCTTCAGCTCAGGGGTTCAGGGCTGGGGCTTCTGGCTTTCAGGGCGCTTCGGCATGTTCAAGCACAGCCGTTTGGGGTTCAGGGGGGTTCCGAGGGTGAGCTTCCGGTAGCGCATGCTTCATGCATCAATCGCATTGCATCCAATAGGCCAAAATTGTCCAAAGCCCTGAATGCTTGAGCCCTGTCTATTTGGTTAGGTGGGCCACGGTAAGGTGAAAGATGCGGATGTAGGGCATTGCGCCTTTGAAAGAACACCCACCCAAAGCCTAAGAGTAAGGATGGAGTACCAGCACTCGCTCCTCGACTTCCTGCCGCCGGCTTGGACAGTGCTTGACCTGCTTCGGAACTCGTCCACGAGCCTATGCTTGAAACCTGAAGGGTTTGCGGGGGCTTTTTCTTTTTGCTCTCCCACAGCCAAAGTAAAGGTTGGAACTCCCACTTACAGCTTGAACTTACTGTTCAGTGTTAAAGGTGCTTCGTCCCTCTGTCGTAGAGTGTTGTAGAGCCTCACAATCAGAAGTGTTTTGTTTTCTGGTTTTGCTTCTTTCTGAGGAAGCTGCTGGTCCTCTCGTCGCGGCAGCGGCGTCTGCTGGCCACCCTTGGCTTTCCCAGCGAGCCTCGGCCAGCCCCCATCAGAGAGACAGCCCCTTGAGAGAGCTGAGCTGCTTAAAAGGAGGCGGAGGCTTTCTCTTTTGCTTTCTTGATTTTTGTTCTTTCTTTTCTCTCACTCTCTCTCTCTCTCTCTCTCTTTCTCGAAGCGGCTTTGGCGCACCTTTTCAGGAACAGGTCCTGGAAGTGCCCCTTACGGACGACCGACCCGCAGTCCTGCTGTGCGCGAAGAGGGGCCGGACAATGCATCTCTGGCGCGTGCGCGGGGGCTCGCGCAGCTCCGAGATCTCTGGAGCACTCCCGAGCCATCCCTATGAGGACCGTAGCTCATCTTAACCGAATTTGGGGCCCCTTTTTGGTTTCTTTCAGGGATACGTTGTTCGTAGGCCCTTCGTAACACGTAGGAATGGTTTTGATGGGCTTACAGCAAGGGCTCTGTCGACTCCCATTTCCCTAACTCGACAGCACCCAGTCCTCGGCCCTGAAACGAAGGAGCCTCCGCGCCCTGATCTTTGATCCCCAAAGGAGCCCTTAAGCTACACACGTCCATCCTGACACCCACCTAAAAGACTCGACTTGATTGATTAACCCCGCCCGGGCATCCGAATCCCAAGCAGTTGCAAGGCCGTTTCGATGGAGACCTCTGGCACCGGCTCATCAACATCCAGGCTGATCTGTGTGTCGTTCTCACATGGAACTGGGCTATGTACGGGGTTCTGATCCCAAGACCTGCGCAGACCACTGGATCCAAGACCTTATGCACCCCAAGCCCACACCCTGACCCTGAAAGACGAGAGTCCCGAACGCCCCGTTCTTTCTGGGGTCTCTGCCGTTTGTGCCATGCGCCCTTTTAACAGGGCAGGCCCTGGGCCCCTTCAGGTGGGCCCGGAAATCTCCGATGCCATCGCGCAGCACAATGGCTTCGCGGCAGCTGGTCTGAATGGCGACATGGATAGTTTCCTAAACAAGTTTACACGGAATCGTACACAGAGCAAAAGAATGATATTGGGAAGAGAAATTGAATCCTTCCGCATCACCCTATGCTACGCCCCAAGCGCCTTTGGATTATTTATTACGTGTCACGGCAGCTTGACGCCGGGTCAAAGGGCTTTCAGGCGAGGGCTTCTCGTAGGGCGCGTTGACGGTTGACCTTCCTGGGTCAGGCTGGCACAATTAGGTTGGCCTAGTTCCACATACGGCCGAGTCTAGCTCCACATACTCGATGAGACCAGAATAAGGGCAAGAGACGGAAAGATAGAAGAAGAGGCCGCAACCACGAGGAGAGGTCTCAGCTCCATGAATATCCTAGACAATGCCAGCCTCGACCCCAAACCGCAACACGCCCAAATCGTAGTACCCAGACATCATTGCACAAACTCGAGCCTGAAGCCCCCGAAGTTTGAGGGATCCACGCTGGGAATTGGCTGGAGGTTTGCAGGGCTAGAAAGCCGAGAACGGAAAGCTGAACACCCAAAGCCGAGGGTTTTAGGGTTTAGGGTTTAGCCAAAGCCGCTTGGCAAACACCGCTTGACCAAAGCCGGCTCTTGTTCCTACACGTGGAAAACCATGTTTCATTTACGTCTTACTTTCGTTTTGTTTTAACCACATGGGATAGGACTAGGGTTTCTGCTCTTGGAAGTGGAGTTCCTGGGGAGACAGGTGGGGAGACAAGTGGGAGACGAACGAGTATCGGAGTCCCGGAGGTGCGTCCAAACATCCGGTACGTGTGAGAGACAAGTGGGGGACACAGGGGAGACAAATGGGAGGAGAGACATGGGAGACATATGACAAACGGGCGACAAATGGGAGGCAAGTGGGAGGCAAGTGAAATCGTCGCCCAGGGGTTCGTCCCAACATCTGGTGCCTGTGGGAGACAAGTGGGAGGCATGTGGTAGACGAATGGGAGACAAACGAGTATCCCAGCCTTCGGGATGCGTTCCAGCTGCCTGGTTCCAACGGGGAAATAACTTCTAGAGTAGTCCCGTGCGAATTTCAAGCGCTTGTCCCAGTATCACTGTTGTTACACATTATGACCAGTATGAACCCAAGAGCAAAAGCTGGTTGGGGAAAAACATTATTAGATACAGTATGTACACATTCCTTCCACCTGCACACATTCCTTCCACCTAAAGAGAAAACACGAACCTTTCCTCTCCTCTCCTCCTCCGCTTTCGTTTAGCCGAGGAGAGAACTTTTTGGCAGCCGCGGCTGGTGGTGTTTTTGCAGCGCTGCACCGACCACCGGGCCCTGGAGAACGAGCAGAAGGCCCTTGAGGCAATCAGCCGGGCCCCTCGGCTTGGAAGGACAGGAGAGGGGAGAAGAAGGGAGGAGAGGGGGAGCTGCGGCTCTCTCTCTCTCTCTCTCTCTCTCTCTCTCTCTCTCTCAAAGGGGTCGGGAGGGTTTTGCTCAGGGGGAGGGAAGAGGGAAGGGAACGGAAACGGGAGCGATGCTTTCGAGGCCCTGTTGAAGTCAACTCGGCCAGAGGAGCTGCTGTCAATTTGCGCAGGCGGGCGAAAGAAGAGAGCGGAGTATGGAGCCACACAATGTCCTGCCGAGTCTGTTTCTGAGAGGCCGCGAGAACTTCTTGGAGCAGGTCCAGAAGGCCAGCTCCCAAACCGAGGAGCCGTGTGTGCACGTATACTTCTAAAACGATTTTCACAGAGACAACTGGAAGGACGGCGGGGCTCTTCTATTTACCTTTATCCTCGTCCCCGAAAGGAAGAGTCCTCCTCCCTCGCCGCAATCTCCTCCCTCGCAGCTGTTGCAGGTCCGACAGGCGCGGCTCATCATCGGCGCACATGGAGGGGCGATGGCCAACATGGTCCTGGCGCGCTCCGATGCAGGCAGCCCTATGAGTCCAAGATGATGATGATGGAAACAAGATGTGAGAGCTACTGTATATGGGGGGAGGATTCATTGTTGTTCAGATCATGTCTGACGGCCTGGGTAGGTCTGGGTTCACTCGAGGCAGGTGGCTGCACAGGAACTCGAAAGGTTGAGCATGCGCAAGCACATCGGAGCGATGAGACGCGCAGCGGAAATCAAGGCGGGCTTGTCCCTCTATCCACCGTTGTTACCTGGAGGTGTGATCGAGCTCGTTGCCGATGCCGCAGCCCAGAAAGGGTTAGAAGGAGCCAAGACTTTCGCTTCAGGGTTCATGGGAGGTTCAGGGAGGTTCATGCAACTTGGAGTGGTGGGATATCACGGCAGGACCCTGGCCACCTTACAAAAGATCCTTGACTGCACCCTTCGTTTGCGGCCTTGCCGCCTTGGCAGCTGGATTTTAAGCAGCGCCTGTACCTAGCCACCGGAGTAGAGTTTGAGGATGCTGGAGGACAGGTGGATACCGAGGGTTGGTATGGAGTCTGGCTTGCAGCCCCTGAGGTTACTTCTACGGCGGACTTGGGGCAGCCTTTCCCTTCTACCGAGTGTCTTGGAAGCCTAGAACTGCCCGAAGGCTTGAAGTTGAATAGAGTCCTTTGATCAGCTGCAAAACAGAGGAGAGCTCACTTTTGTGCCTTTGCATTTATGAAAGGCGGGGGTTTCATGGGCTTCTTGGATGTCCTGTTTCGGACTTTCAGGTGGTCCTCTATGAAGCCGACCCGCACGGCAAGCTCTGGATTCGCCTGGACGACCTGCAGACAGCCGTCACCGACTTCCTGAACCGACTCGGCTAGTGGCCGGGTGCTGCTGGGCCTGAGGGACTTCTGTTTTGGATGACTCCTGTGCACTGCTCCAGCTCCTTCCCTGACCATGTGATCTCGGTCGAGTTAGTCCGAGACGCGACAAAGTGAAGGATGCCCAAGCGAGAGCAAAAGACGCGAGAGAAAGATGCGCGTGAGAGATGCGAGAGACTGAAACAGGAAACTGATTGACAGAGATAGGGCCAACACTAGCCGGCGCAGCACAAGATCATCGAGAGTCCCCGAAGGGGCCCTGGCGGCCACCTGACCTGGAGCCCAAGTGTCTCTCATGTCTTGCGGCGTGCCCCAGACCATGCACCTTACATATCTCGACTCCTTTCCCCCTCTCCACCCCGTAATGATGCCATGTCTCAACCAGCCCGATGTTTTTTCAACGGCTTCCAAAGCTACACCAAGCACCCAGAACACGATCCCAAACCAGAGCCACTCCTCAAGAGCCACAGCGAATCCCAAAACATGATCCCAAAACAGAGCCATCCCATAAATCGGAGTATTCCTGGTGTGAACCGGCAGGCTGGTAGAGGCTAACAGATGAGCAGATGCCTGTTCCCGAGCACGATCTACGAACACGGCACATCGTTTGAACAATCCAAAATTTGCAACGCTGTTGATTCACAAGAAGCTAGGAATCGCATCTTGGATTGTTAGCAGCAGATTCTGGCTTAGATTTCATGCATGCTGGTGCTGGTGGCGCTGGTGGTGCTGGCGGTGCTAGCGGTGCTAGCGGCGCTAGTGATGCTGGTGGTGCTGGTGGTGCTGGTGGTACCAGTGGTGTGTGGTCTACTTCATCTCGTCAATTCAACAAAAACATAATTTTATAGCGGGCTATCCTGCGTTCTACTTATTCATTCAAAATCGGCCACGACATTTACAACCTCAGATTTTTCCAAGTATTTCAATGATCGAAAAATGGCGGCAAGTACCAATCTATAAATGGTGATTCCTAATACGCATTTGAAATTAGATTGCGAACGATATGATATGTGCCTGCATTCTGCAAATATCCCACTTGCAAGTGCGTGCAGATCAAACCCATCCCCCCAACCACCCCTTTCGCCACCTACGGTAAAAAGAGATGAATATCTCTTGATAGCAGGAACTGCTCTTGTGCGCGACATGGAGCCGACTCATCGTTTCGATGAGTCTCCCAGTACCACCAGCACCACCAGCACCACCAGCACCACCAGCACCACCAGCACCACCAGCACCAACAGCACGGTAACGCGATGGCCGAAAGCTCTGGATCAACAGAAGGTGAAGCAGAGGAAAAAGAGCAAGCAGCAAAAGCCGAGGAAGCTGAAGAGAAAGAGCAAGCAACAAAGGCCAAGGAAGCTGAAGAGAAGGACCAAGCAACAGAGGCCAAGGATACAGAAAAGGAGGACCAAGAAACAGAGGCCAAGGAAGCAGAAAAGGACGACCAAGCAACAGAGGCCAAGGGTACAGTAGAAACGGTCCAGGATGACGATGAAGGCGTCGATGAGCTAGAGCTCAAAGAGGGTTACGACATAGCGTCGGACTCCATGGGAAGCAATCGTGCATAAAGCTGACACCAAGCTGATCGAGGAAGGGTTACCCAACGAAGCCCTTTCGAGGGAAATTGCTATGTTACGTGGAGTCGCTATGCGTCCTACCAACAGTCTTCCAAGTGGCTACGTTGTGAAGTTGGGTGACTTGAAGAACCGTTTAGACGGTATGGTGATAGAACATGAGGAGTCACTCAGCATTTTATGCGAAGATGAAGTGAAAGTTGAGAAAGAGCTGAAGGTTATGGAAGCTGATTACGATAACTTCGAGATGGAGCTTCAGAGAGAGCTCCAGGAGAAGCTTTCAGCGCGGAAAAAGCAGATTGAAGAGCTGCGCGACGGCTTTGATGATGCCAAGATGCGCGTTGATCAGGTATCAAAGTCGAAACAATGCTTGGAACAGCTTGTGGACATTGTTTCAAACGCGCAAATCTGTATTGCTGAGTTAACCAAGGCCTTCCCCAGCTTAGCAAGGTTGCAGACGATGTCAGATGAGGAGCTGGAGAAAAAGCGGAAGAGCCACGGCTGGAACACCGCGAGGTGGAGATGATAAAGAGAAAGAAAGGGAGGAGAAGCCAAAGCCGCAGCCGAAGAAGATGCCGGTGATGATTGCTGAGAAGCAAGGTGAAAGTGCGGCGACGAAGAAAGTTGAAGAGCTCAGAACGCGGCTTGATGATAAGATGACGACGAGAGGAAGTGAAAAGCCGAATGAGCCAGAAGATGGGCCGAAGAAAAAGCGGCAGGAAAACCCGAGCACGCCGAAGCAATGGTGGCGAGGAGACTCACCCGGCGTGGTGTGTTTCTACTGCAAAGAGAAGGGCTACAAGTCGGCCTCGTGCCGACGCATGTTTCAAGATGCTCGATCGGTTACTGGATATGTGCCAAGCGAAGAACGCATCCAGAAGCCCAGGCATATGTTTTGCCGCCAGTGTTTTATCAAACAAGTTCGAGTCCAAGGATTACCAGAAAGTGTAGCAAGAGAGCGCTGCACGGGCTGGGGATCGCATTCCCCTGATACTTGTTGGTACGAAAAAGAAGCAAGTGAGCTCGACAAGAAGCAAGCTGATGAGCTAAAGAAGCGGCAGCCCACTCCGAGTTGGGGCCAGGAGCCTGCGGCAAAGAAGAAGAAAGTTGCAGAAGGAGAAGTGATCAAAGTTGATGACGATGCTGATAAGAAGGATTCTGCAAAGAAAGAAGGTGAAAAGAAAGGTGCAGATGAAAGCGCAGGTGCCGGATCGAGCAAGGATCATGAGAAGAAGAAAGAAGAGACGAAAACGGGCACCAAGAAGAGGGAAGAGCAGAAGAAGAAGAAAGGTGATCGCTAGAAGGAGAAAAAGGATGAGAAGCAGAAAGATATGAAGAAAGAGAAGAAAAGCGGAAAGAAGATGGAAAGTCCCGAGAAGAGGGACGACGATGAAGAAAATTTGAGCTGAGCGACAGCTGAGGGCAAAGACCCTAGGGCGTTTCACAAGTGTGAGAAAAGAGAAAAGCACCGAGACCAGGTGGGTAAACAACGGTCCATAGCCGGAAGGAATGCTAAAGCAAATGCTGAAGCAACGAGAAGAGCGCCTGAGGGCGAAAAGAGATGATTCCAAGTCCCACGATATGCACTACGAGCACTACGAAGGCTAAAGCCGAAAATGCGTTCAACGCAAGCATCTGGACAGTGATGCAAGGTCTAAGACCAAAACTGAGGGCAGAGTTTCAACGGCCTCGACGACCTAGCGTTGCCGAAAATGAGCGCGACTGCCAGCGAGCGTAGTTTGCCAATGCAGTTTCAGGACATGTCAGACCTGGGTTTGTATGTTTCACTTATCAATTTTCAGGACATCCACAAAGAAGAAAGATGAGGATGAAGAATGATGGTTAAAGTGAAGATTACGCTCAATGGAGCATGAGAAAAATGTCAAGGCTCTACGTGAGCGTGAGACAATGACGAAGTGGATGGTAGAAAGTGTTTGAAGATCGAATCAAGTTGTACAACACAACCTGAGTCGATGAGGGTGTAACAAAGTTTTCACTTTAGTAGGCATGCCCAATTTAGCACGTTTCACTGCGTTTCTCCAAAGGTCATACGACGGCTCAAGTTTAGTGGGAAAGTAGTGGGACCCCGCGCCGTGTGTTGACAAGGGATAAAGTTTGACGTTGGTTAAAGGTTTTAAACTTTCACGAAGGCACCGCAGAAGACGCAGCACGGCATTGGCCGCTCGGCACCGCCATAGGCAAGCTCAACATCGTCCATGCAGACGGTAAGGACCCCCGCCTTGTTCTCGACAACCCTGTATGCGGCCTGAACCCAGCAGTGCACCTGCCAGAACGAGTCGCTATGCCAAGCGCTCTTGACGTGCAACGCACCTTCAAAGCTGCAGACCCTTTCTCGCGCCTGCAAGCCATCTCTCTAGACTTCAAGGCAGCGCGCAATCTCAGAAAGTCCGTCTAGCCGAGCAAGGAACGCTGCTCTTCGTCCGCGTTGCCGACAAGCTGTATCACTGCACCGTCTGTCATTTCGGTGCCCGCTTCTATGCATATTGGTGGCAACGCACCGGCTCGCTTATCCTGCGCTGCATACACGCACTGCTCTGCGAGCACCCGCATATAGCTTGGCTTTATGTTGACGAGATTCTGGCAATTCTCCGCAAGGACAAGCTGCAACAGCGTGTCGCTCTCATTATCGCCCTGCTTGCCGCCTTGCATGCACCCATCAGCTGGAAGAAAGCCCAGCTCGGCGACCACGTCACGTGGTGCGGTTGGGTTTTTTTGTTTTCGCACTGAAACAGTAGCACTCGTGCAAAGCAAACTCGACAAACTGCGTCAGCAACTGCATAAGCTCAGCAAAGCCTCCAAAGTATTCAAAAAGGATTTCGAGGCGTTCCTAGGTTTACTCAACTGGGCTACCACGCTGAGCCCCCACATGCGCTCTTTCATGTCCTGCCTCTACAAAGACCTGCATAGCAGCACTGGCACTCTGCACAGCATCTCGCCTACTGCATGGTCTAGTTTCTATGACTGTTTGGATAACCAGGCCAAACTGGCCTCTACACCGGTGGGCTCCTGGCTGCCTCGCAATGCCCAGCTTCTAGAGGTAGGGTCCATCAAAATTCGCTCCAAAGCAGATGTGCCCCGCGCAGGCATCAGTGGGTTCGCCTGTCTGATCCCAACCGCACTGAAATACAATTGACTGCTTGAGCCTTTGTTTTCAGCATGAACAACCTCGTAGCCTCCGCATGCCGCCGCTATCGCCCTGCATAAGTGCAGTAGACCCTTTCGCCCAAATTCATCGCATGGGCATCGGAGGATGGCTCGGCACTGCCTCGCATTTTGTCTGGTACAGCGAGATCTTCTCGGCAGACGAGGTCAGGGCCGAATGGCCCCAGCTTGACGGTTCCATGCAAAGCTACATTGCCTGTTTTGAAGCTCTTGCCCAGTTGGCCCTCGCGCCTGGGCGTTGCTACGCTCCAAGCATGCCCGCTTCGTTCTGCCCAGTGCCAGCGATAATACTTCTGCAGGAGGCGGCGTCAATCGCCTCTTTACACCCGCTGAGCCGCTCAGCACCTTCCTTCGCCTTGCAGCCACTTGGGCTCACCTGCATCGCGTGCAATTCCAAGTCGAACACCTGGCAGGAGAAAAGAACACATGGGCAGACACGCTGAGTCGCGGTCGCCTCGGATTCATACAGCATCGCTCCGGAGCGGGTACGCATTACCCTGCCACAACTCGCATCAGCATCGCATACAGTTTCACTTCGAGGGGAGGAGAATACCTTCCCCCCTCGCCTCCGCGAGGCTCAGCGCAGCCTCCTGCGCTAACGCGTTCAGGCCGTAAAGGACTGCCCAGTCATGCCTTTGCAGTGCCAGCCTTCGCTCACGTTGAGCGCCTAGCTTCTCGCATTGTTTCTGCCACGCCAGGTCAGTCTTCTTCTTCATCCCCGTGCGGTGAGGGTTACTGAGCTTGCGAGGCAGAGGATTGCAGAAGAGGGACTAAAGGAGGGGCACAGCTCGGCATCGCATTGCTTTGCTATCTCTCGACTTAGGCATCGCTTGCCTCGCAACTTCTTCTGCAATCCGTGCGAGTACAAAAGAAGAGACCGCTTCTTTTTGTGGTAGAACTAACTCACAGTTGTCTTTGCTAGAAAACGCTAGTCGTGAGTTTGTATTTTTGGACGACAGTGTTTTCTGCAAAGAACTTGAGATGTATGCCCCGCGCCGCTCCGCACATCTCAAGGCTGTCGACGCGGTACGCTACCGTTTAGCACTTCGCTTTTTTCACCCACCCACCCAACCCGGGGGGGCACAGCTCGGCATCGCACTGCCTCGCTTGCCTCGCACCTTCTTATGCAATCCGCGCGAGTACAAAAGAAGAGACCGCCTCTTTTTGTGGTAGAACTAACTCACAGTTGTCTTTGCTAGAACACTGCCCCAGGCCCTCAAGTCTCAAGCCTCAGACCTTAAACCCCAAACCCTGAACCCTATGAGACCTCAACCCTCGGCCCCAAACCCTGCAGCCCCGCAAACCCTATACGCCGAGGACTCTGAACCCTATAAAACGCTATCCTTAAAATCGCAACTCTAACTGAAAACCCCGAGGCCGGGCCGTATCTCGGACCCGGTCTCGCTGGAGATGCGAGCTTTAGGGTCTAGGGTTTAGGGTTTAGGGGATTTACAAAATGGGTTTATGTGGGGGGCGACAGTTGTTGGCTTGAGGGTTCATGCCGAAACCTGGACAAGGCACCCTGAAATCCACCCAGGGGGGTGCTGCTTCTAGTTCTTTTGGCTCCGATGTCTCGCTACGTTCGGAGACGGTGTGTTCTTGGGGTTTCGGGGGCTTTGTGACTGACGCCAAGAGGAACCGGAAAGAAATTGGTGCCACACAGAGTCTCCATGGTAATTCCGATTTTTGGGGTGAGGTAACACAGGAACGGAAGCAAAATGGAGACGATTGTACGGAGTAGTCGTACCAAAGGGTCCCTGCAATCAAAGACAGTGGCAGGAACAAGAAGCAGTCGTTTGAAAGATCCTCATCTGACGCTGCAGCTGTTTGTTCGTCGCAAAGTTCGACGTGCCTTTTGAAAAGTTGCCCCATATCTTCTGATGGCTGCCTTTGCAGGGGCCCTGGTCCTGAGAGGATAACCCTGCATCTTCCCAATTCAATGTAGAAACTCTTCAGCATCCTTCAATCCTGATCCTCTCCCCAAGCTTCGAGCTCCGAAGCCCCGAACATCTCCGAATCCGCGGCCCGTCGTCCCCCAAAATCCAGAAAGCCTAAACCTTCGCGGGCTTCGGGACCAAACCCAGGAGGACCCGAGACCTAAAACTGTAAACTTCCCAAAACCCTCAAACCGCGAAACACCCCGAAGCCGGTACAGCTGGAATCGCAAACTCCTTCAGACCCCTTGCCGAACCCCATACCCTAAACCCTAAACCCTGAACCTGAACCCTAAACTCATGGCCTAGGCCGCCCACCTACTCCACTTCGATGGCGCAGATTGCGACCCAATACGCCTGCCCGCCCCACAGCCATGGGGATGGTAGCACCCATGTCTGGCCCGGTACCGGAGCAGGTTCTCCTCGGGACCAGTGCTGGTCCCTATTAAAATATATACCATTATATACCCTAAACCCCAAGCCCTTCAATCTGGGGCAGCTCGGGCCCCCTCCAGAAAAGGACCCTTTCCAGGGGGGCCTGGAGCCTCCAGCGAGCAGTGTTCCAGGTCCACGCCGGTCCAAGGGGGGGACTTGCACAAAGTCGAGGTCCCCTCTTTTCTTTTCGTGTGTCTGCTTTAAACCCTACGATTGAAAAAATAAAGAAAACCATAGAATGAGTTTAGGGGCTAAACCCTAAAAGGAATAGGTTTGGGTGGTTTGGCCGCCTCAGACGGCGTGGGGTGGGAGAGTTAAAAGAAAGAGCCATCCACAATCAGGCTCCAACAGCCAATCGTCAGAAGACGACGCACTCGAAATTACACCGTCGCGACATATTTCCGCTTATGTGCCACTCTACGGCAAAACCCTAAACCCTAAGCCCTAAACCCTAAACCTTAGACCCTAAACCCTGAATTGGAGTCCATCGCAGAGCCCCCTTTCCCAAGGCTCTTCTCCCGATGTTGGCTGCTGTGGGAGTCCTCGTGGCAGCTGAGCCAGGGGTCCCTGAAAGTTTGTTCGGGTTTAGGGGTTTCGGGGTTAAGATTTCGGGCTTGTAGGGTTTAGGGGTTTGGGGTTTAGGGTTTAGAGTTTAGGGGTTTAAGGTTTAGAATTAAGGCGAGAGTATTCGGATCTGTTCGAGTTTGGCGCTTACGAGGGCTTGTTGTGGCGTATCAGGGTTGCGAGGGGTTGGTTCTTCAGGCTTTGTCGGAGAGTCTTGTGGTGGTTGTCGGAACATAGGGCATTGGGTTGTGGTCCTAGGGCACTGAACCCTTCACGCTCTGAACCTTAATCCCAGCCCTAAGCCCTATAAGCCCTATAAGCCCTAAGACCTAAGCCCTACAAGCCCTAAACTTTAAGCCCTGCATGAGCCATCGGCCCTCAACTCCAAGCCTCCCTAGGACGGCAGCTTCCGGGTTGGAGGACAGCGAGAGAATGGAGGCCTCAGGGTTCTATTCTAGGGGCTGTCATGATAGCGACGATTCGGATCAGATGAGGATTTTGACAATCTATCAACAGGGTCCCCCTGGCAGCAGCATGGGCAGGAAGCTGACGAGGACAACTGCCCAAACAGTATCCGGATCCGCCCTGGCGGCAGAGTACTTGGAGAATAGTTGGACATAGCCAGGGTAGCATGGGATAGGGTCATAAGTGGGTGGGCCCCTCTGACCATACAAGAAGTGGAAGGGGCACTCTTTCGTACGATTTTGCTCCTGCCATCGTCTCGTGCGCCAGGGCCGGCAACTTGCCGTGGCTAGCGTGAAAACCTGCCCTACTGACCGACTGCTCCGGCCTCAGGTTTAGGGGACCTGGCTTGATTGGGTTTGGTGTTTTCGAAGCCTTTCTTTCATTCGTTGTTCGTTGACCACAGCAAACTTGTTCGCGTCTCAGCTGCACTGGTTTTCGCCAAGCGTGGCGGCGCAGAAGCTGCTGTTGCCATACTGCTGACACGGCTGACACGGCTGATACTGCTAGTGCTGCTGCTGCTGCTGCTGCCGCTGCTGCTGCTGCCGCTACTGCTGCCGCTGCTGCTGCCGCTGCTGCTGCCGCTGCTGCTGCCGCTGCTGCTGCCGCTGCTGCTGCCGCTGCTGCTGCCTGCTGCTGCTGCCTGCTGCTGCTGCCGCCTGCTGCTGCCTGCTGCTGCTGCCTGCTGCTGCTGCCTGCTGCTGCTGCTGCCTGCTGCTGCTGCTGCTGCCTGCTGCTGCTGCCTGCTGCTGCTGCTGCCTGCTGCTGCTGCCTGCTGCTGCTGCCTGCTGCTGCTGCCTGCTGCTGCTGCTGCCTGCTGCTGCTGCTGCCTGCTGCTGCTGCCGCCTGCTGCTGCTGCCTGCTGCTGCTGCTGCCTGCTGCTGCTGCTGCCTGCTGCTGCTGCTGCCTGCTGCTGCTGCTGCCTGCTGCTGCTGCTGCCTGCTGCTGCTGCTGCTGCTGCCTGCTGCTGCTGCTGCCTGCTGCTGCTGCTGCCTGCTGCTGCTGCTGCCTGCTGCTGCTGCTGCTGCCTGCTGCAGCTGCTGCCTGCTGCAGCTGCTGCCTGCTGCTGCTGCTGCTGCCTGCTGCTGCTGCTGCCTGCTGCTGCTGCTGCCTGCTGCTGCTGCTGCCTGCTGCTGCTGCTGCTGCTGCCTGCTGCTGCTGCTGCCTGCTGCTGCTGCTGCTGCTGCTGCCGCCTGCTGCTGCCGCTGCTGCTGCCGCTGCTGCTGCCGCTGCTGCTGCCGCTGCTGCTGCCTGCTGCTGCTGCCGCTGCTGCTGCCGCTGCTGCTGCCTGCTGCTGCTGCCGCTGCTGCTGCCGCTGCTGCTGCCTGCTGATGCTGCCTGCTGCTGCTGCTGCCTGCTGCTGCTGCTGCCTGCTGCTGCTGCCGCTGCTGCTGCCGCTGCTGCTGCCGCTGCTGCTGCTGCTGCTGCTGCCGCTGCTGCTGCCTGCTGCTGCTGCCGCTGCTGCTGCTGCCGCTGCTGCTGCCTGCTGCTGCTGCCTGCTGCTGCTGCTGCTGCCTGCTGCTGCTGCTGCTGCCTGCTGCTGCTGCCGCTGCTGCTGCCGCTGCTGCTGCCTGCTGCTGCTGCCGCTGCTGCTGCCGCTGCTGCTGCTGCTGCTGCTGCTGCTGCTGCTGCTGCTGCTGCTGCCTGCTGCTGCTGCTGCTGCTGCTGCTGCTGCTGCCGCTGCTGCTGCCTGCCTGCTGCTGCCGCTGCTGCTGCCGCTGCTGCTGCCGCTGCTGCTGCCGCTGCTGCTGCCTGCTGCTGCTGCTGCCGCTGCTGCTGCCGCTGCTGCTGCCTGCTGCTGCTGCTGCTGCCTGCTGCTGCTGCTGCTGCTGCCGCTGCTGCTGCCGCTGCTGCTGCTGCTGCTGCTGCCGCTGCTGCTGCCGCTGCTGCTGCTGCCGCTGCTGCTGCCGCTGCTGCTGCTGCTGCTGCTGCTGCTGCTGCCTGCTGCTGCTGCTGCTGCCTGCTGCTGCTGCTGCTGCCGCTGCTGCTGCCGCTGCTGCTGCCTGCTGCTGCTGCCGCTGCTGCTGCCGCTGCTGCTGCTGCTGCTGCTGCTGCTGCCTGCTGCTGCTGCTGCCTGCTGCTGCTGCTGCCTGCTGCTGCTGCTGCCGCTGCTGCTGCCGCCTGCTGCTGCCGCTGCTGCTGCCGCTGCTGCTGCCGCTGCTGCTGCCGCTGCTGCTGCCTGCTGCTGCTGCTGCCGCTGCTGCTGCCGCTGCTGCTGCCTGCTGCTGCTGCTGCTGCCTGCTGCTGCTGCTGCTGCTGCCGCTGCTGCTGCCGCTGCTGCTGCCTGCTGCTGCTGCCGCTGCTGCTGCCGCTGCTGCTGCTGCCGCTGCTGCTGCCGCTGCTGCTGCCGCTGCTGCTGCTGCCGCTGCTGCTGCCTGCTGCTGCTGCTGCTGCCTGCTGCTGCTGCTGCTGCCGCTGCTGCTGCCGCTGCTGCTGCCGCTGCTGCTGGCTGCTGCCGCTGCTGCTGCCTGCTGCTGCTGCTGCCTGCTGCTGCTGCTGCTGCCTGCTGCTGCTGCTGCCTGCTGCTTGCTGTTGCTTTGCTGCTTGGTGCTGGAGCTGGAGCTGGTGGTCGTGGTGCGGGTTCGACGCTGTGTGCATGATTGCCATGGCTCTGGCCTCGTCTCCGCGACGAGTCGTTCTAGGCATCGGCAGGTTTGTAGTTCTCAGTCGCAGACGCAGTACCTTTCAGCAGCATTTTCACGCCTGAAAGTACCTTTCTACAAAGCTGTGCTACTGCGCATCGATGTTTTCATCACACCATAGAGCCGAACAGGCACGGAAGGTGATGCACGGAAGGCTTTTGTTCGGAGCTCTCGGTGGCAAAGCCACGAGGGTTTGGCCACTTCTGCGGGTGTAGGTCGGCGGCCTCCTTCTTAAGCGCTTTCAGGCAGGGCGACCTGCCCATCCCCTTCATCGGCATGCTCTCTCGTGGCCTTCCAGAGCGGGGCGCCCAGGCGGCTGCCACGTGGAAGCTGGAGCTGCAGTTGTTTTCTCAAAGCTTGAAATGGGCACAGATGGAACAGCCCTTCGAAGGCTTCCCACCAATTCCGTACAAATCTGAACTCATTATGTCATGTTGTTTCCCCCTTCAAAGACCGAAGGAGAGTGCTTGCAACAAAGGAACCCAAGCCGTAGCCGCCCAGGGGGGACACCTTGCGCACGAGGCCAGAGACGCTCGGGAATTTCTGTTTGTACGTGACGGCAAATCAGTTTCAAGCAAAATGCCCCAAATGGGCAAAGTCGCAATCGAAATGAACCTTATCGAACATCGCTCCTCGGCGCCGCTTCTCTCGCGAGAAGCTGCGAGTGCAGCCTTGCTGCGCAGATGGTTTTCCCGAAAGCTTCGCGAAGGGTTCTTCCGTGTGGAACGCCGCAGTTGAGTACATAGATGACAGACATAGAATCAACTTACTTGACTCCATACTTTACTCTACACTTGATACTTGACTCTACACTTGATACTTACTTACTTACTTGTGACTTACTCTGTGACTTACTCTGTGACTTACTCTGTGACTTACTCTTGACTTACTCTGTGACTTACTCTGTGACTTACTCTGTGACTTACTCTTGACTTACTCTGTGACTTACTCTGTGACTTACTCTCTGACTTACTTACTCTCTGACTTACTCTCTGACTTACTCTGTACCTCTCTACATACTCTCTACATCTCGTGACTTACTCTTGACTTACTCTGTGATTTACTCTGTGACTTACTCTCTGACTTACTCTCTGACTTACTCTCTGACTTACTCTCTACCTCTCTACATACTCTCTACATCTCGGTATCTAAATCTCTCTTCTAAAGCCAGGGGTGGCACCGTCGTCGTCCATCGGGAATGCAACCCTTCCCAAGGATTCGCCTCCTCGAGCGCCCAAACGCTAGGTAAAGTTACACATTTTAGGCGCCCGGCGCAACCCTTCCCAGGGATTCGCTGCCTCGGGCGTTCAAACGCTAGGTAAAGTGACACATTTTAGGCGCACCGCGCAACCCTTCCCAGGGATTCGCTGCCTCGGGCGTTCAAACGCTAGGTAAAGTGACACATTTTAGGCGCACCGCGCAACCCTTCCCAGGGATTCGCTGCCTCGGGCGTTCAAACGCGAGGTAAAGTTACACATTTTAGGCGCCCGGCGCAACCCTTCACAGGGATTGGAACTCTCGGGCGTTCAAACGCTAGGTAAAGTGACACATTTTAGGCGCACCGCGCAACCCTTCCCAGGGATTCGCTGCCTCGGGCGTTCAAACGCGAGGTAAAGTTACACTTCTTGCGGGCGCCGCGCAACCCTTCACAGGGATTCGCCTCCTCGGGCGTTCAAACGCGAGGTAAAGTTACACATTTTGCGGGCGCCGCGCAACCCTTCACAGGGTTTGGGTGCAGCTCAACTGCATTTTGCAACCCTTCACAGGGATTTGCATTTTGCAACCCTTCACAGGGATTGGCGTGGTCGGGTGTTCGAACGCGAGGTAAAGTTGCATTTTTTGATGTGCATTGAAATGAATTTTGCAACCCTTCACAGGGATTGGCGTGGTCGAGTGTTCGAACGCGAGGTAAAGTTGCAATTTTTTATGTGCATTGAGATGAATTTTGCAACCCTTCACAGGGATTGGCGTGGTCGAGTGTTCGAACGCGAGGCAAAGTTGCAATTTTTGATGTGCATTGAAATGAATTTTGCAACCCTTCACAGGGATTGGCGTGGTCGAGTGTTCGAACGCGAGGTAAAGTTGCAATTTTTTATGTGCATTGAGATGAATTTTGCAACCCTTCACACAGATTGGCGTTGTCGAGTGTTCGAACGCGAGGTAAAGTTATTACTTTTGATGTGCATTGAGGTGAAACTTGCAACCCTTCACAGAAATTGGCGTTGTCGAGTGTTCGAACTAGTACTAGTACTACTACTACCACTACCACTACTACAACTATTATTACTACTACTACTGCTACTACTACCACTACTACAAAAGAATACTACTACTACTACTACTACTACTACTACTACTACTACTACTACTACTACTACTACTACTACTACTACTACTATACTACTACTAGTACTACTACTACTACTACTACTACTACTACTACTACTACTACTACTACTACTACTACTAGTACCACAACAACAACTACAACAACACTACTACTACTACTACTACGACCACGACTGCGACTACGCGACGACGACTACTACTACAACTACTACGACTACCACTACTATCACTACTACTAGTACTGGTACTGCTAGTAGTACTACTGCTACTGCTACTACTACTACTACTACTACTGCTGCGACATAAAGTGACCATGCATAGAGTCATAGAGTCACGTTGAAACCACAGTAATCAGGGATGTCTATATAGTGAGGTTCCGGAGCTGGGAAAGGAAGACTTCTGCGTCATGTTGGACTATACTCTAAACCCGCTAAACCTGAACATTAGTGTTCATAGAGTGAACTACATCAAGTCAAGTGCGTGGTACATAGATGACTCCATGACTCTATGACTCTTTCTCACTCTGACGCTATGACTCTATAACACTATGACTCTATGATTCTGTCTCACTGTGACTCTATGACTCTATATGACTCTATGACTCTTTGAACTATGACTTGTGCTTGACATGTACTCGACTCTATTTCTCGATGACTCTATGAACTATGACTTGTACGACTCTTGACTGTATGTGACACTCCGACTCTGTGACTCCGTGCTTTTGACTCGGTGACTCTATGACCCTATACACTGGATTCTATGACGTAGCGTAACACTCTTCGCTGATGATGCTTTCGGGCCAATTGTCTTCTAGTTTTTATCTACCCCGACTACCAAGGATTAAGTTTGTTTTTTTCTGGGTGTTCAGCTAACCTGCGCCCGAAATGGCAGGTTCGTTTACATGGAGCACTTCATGCGCTCGGTTCCCTTCTGGCAGCCGCTGAACGATCCCAAGGCTTCCACGCCCGGGCACTGCCTGTCGGCTCTTTGTCGGTGACGATTATTCCGAGCTGCGCCCAAGTCTCCCATCAAAGCTTGCGCTTTTTGGGGCAGGATGTGCTGCCCACCGCCCTGCACATGCCGGAGGACGCGGCTCTGGCGGCGCGCCGAATCGATGCGCTCATCGTGGGAGTGCTGACCATCGGCCCGGGCTGCAGCCGGCTTTCTTGTTAAAAGCGTAGATGGCGTGGGATCGTGTGGTGAAGCCAGGTCTGATCACCTGGTGTGCCTGCAGTGACACTACTAGAATCAGTCCATCACCAGCGCAAGAAGTTTAAGCGTGAAGTGTAGTGGCGAGGGACTGGGCCGAGGACCCCCATTGGATTTTTGTGAGGCTTGGTTTAGGACCAGTTCACCAGACATGCATATGAGGGCGACGCGGCTTTCGTAGTTGGAGTGGAGGGCAGCAGAGGGCCTGGAATACTTAGGGCGAGCTCTCCGAGGCCTCTGTTCAGGCACCAAGGCGGTAGAAGCGGGCCCTGCTTGAGGCCTTGCCCTCGTGGCGACAACCGTCCCAGTCGGGCTGGTGTCCTTATTGGGATCCTCAGGGCCACGTCCCAAGACTGGGTGGTCACAAGTTACAGATGTTGGAAGTCTACAGTGCAAGACGGGTGTGAGCCCGTTTAACTCTCTTGGTTCTGGCTGCTGTCGGGCGCAACTTGCATTCGGCCCGAGTTTTCACTGAGGTCAAAAGAAGAGGAATCCCGTCTCCTAATACAAGCCGAAGCGGGCGCAGGAGAGCTGGCACCGTGTGGGAGTCCTTCTTCGTTTGCGGCCTCTCAAATTACTCCCGGTCCCCGGCAGGCGAAGCTTCTCAGGAGGAGGAGGAGTTCGAGATGCGTTTGGGTCCGGTGAAGACCGCCGTCTTTGCAGTGTGGGCCTTGTCGTGGGATGGCAGCACGCGAAGCGCAGAGTTCCGACATTCCGTGCCCTTTCAGGTTTATTATGTCGGCAGCATCGTCTTCTTGCTGGCTCCGGGCTCGGCGGCCTCGTCAGCGACCCCGTCGCGCCTTTTCCGTGAAGCGTGGAGCTGGCCCCGCAGAGGTCTTGACCTCCTGGTCGAAGTCCGAGAATTTGATGTTGGGCGGGGCGGGGCTAGACTGGGAAGTCATTTGGTTGTGGCTGGTGGCCCGGGTCTCGGTGCTGACCACCTCGCGGCGAGGTTTTTTTGTAGTCTTTCGAACTTCAGGTCGTCCTTTCCACGGACGTGGTGGGGTATTCCTGCCGTGCAGTGCAGGAGACTTCCTTGGCCCCGACCATACTTGCTGCCGCAGCAAGTGTTCCCGCTGCAGGCGGCGATCATGAAGCGCCAACTCAGTCTTGCAGGCACTGCCATCTCAACAGTGATGAGCGCTACGGTCTCAGACCGTGGCGGTAGGCGTGCGTCAGAAGGCTACAGACCTGATTGCCGCACTCAGGTGCTGCCCGTTCTGGGGCCAAGGGTGGATCTTCTCAAGGACGCCCCAACCCCTGCTTTGCACCGTTGTGCGGGCTTCCGCTGCTGCCCTTGGTGCTGGTGCCTCTTGGAAGGTCCATGTCTTTAGATTCGGGCCTCGGGGCATCAGCGCTCGCAGGACTGTCTCTTTGCAGCTTCGGTGTTTCAGCTCGCGGCCTGCCAACACGACTCGTGGAGGCGTGCCGCAGGCCAGTCTCCTGTAGTTCTCTGCAGAGTGGAGGAAGTTCAGGTTTTTGCAGCAAGTGTGAATCGTGTCCATATACAGCCATTCAATCACGATCTGGATTTAAGGGATGTCGATTGCAGGCCTCGTGCAGCTTTTCACTTGCTGCCAGGCTTTTGGATTGGAAATGCCTCGCTTCTGACGATCTTCCTGCCGGTGCCTGCTTTGCAAGGCCCTTACCTTTGCGCACCTTGCAGATGCAGAGTTAACAATTGCGACATGTGCTTGTGCAGAAAGGTGGATGCAGAATCAGAACGCATCTTTGCCTATTCTGTAGGTCCGTGCTTTGTGCAAGGTTCTGGTTCGAAACGACCAGGAGTGCGGCAAGCTGAAGCATCACGGGTCGCACAGGCCAACTGTTGAGTGCAAATCTCGGCATAGTCCTTATACAAGCCAAGACAAGAAGCTATCCTGCTAAGCCCCACAACACAAGCTCCCACAAATGTTTGACGCATCCTCGCAGCATGAGCTATTTTGCTAAGCCTAAGCTGCATCGACCGGAGATGCACCTGGAGTTCTGGACTGGACTGCTGCGTGAGGAGGGATCTGGCCGCAGAGTTTTGGCCGGCGCTGGTTGCCCGCCTTCGGGTGGCGAGCAAGGACGGAGCTTTTTGTTCCAGGATTTGGGGCGTTCCACGAGTGAACTTGAAGCATGGCAGCCAGGAGCCCCCTCAGTCAGCGATGAGGCCGGAGATCTCCGATCTTGGGGCCACTGCCTTCGAGATTCAGCCATGGACCCCGTGGCCGAAGGCGGCGCCTTTCTCCTTGACGCTCTCTACCTCCCAGGTCCCAGCTCTCGCTTCGTTGCAGGCCGAGCTCTTCGCTGTGCCCAAGCTTGTGGCCCAGTGCACCGCATCGCGATTTTGCCTGGAGCTCAGTGGAGGAACCGAGACGCCACATTGCATCCATTTCTCTGCTCCCTGTTCGTTTCTCTGAAAGGGACTGCTGTGGGCGAAGACTTGCCACAGGCAGCCGCGGCCTCGGGTCGTTCTCCGGGGCGGTCCAACTGTGCGTGCCTTTCACAATTCCCCCGTACATGCTCGGGTCATCCTGGTGATCATGCCTCAGAGCAGCAACCTGTGCCTCCTTCGCCTGCCTCCCATCGCCTTTGCTGGACAAACATCGAGATTCTACATCAGACAAGTCTCGGCCGGCTCGGCGCCGGCGAACTTGAGCAGTGTCTCATCCGCAAATTCGCATTTCCACTGATGGCCCTCATTCCTGCGCATCTGGCCTCAATACACATGGCAGCTGCACTACATTTTCAGCCTCAGGGTAACACACGGCCAAGAGAAGCGTAAGTTCAGCCTGAAGCTCGAGAAGCCAATGACTCACTGATCTTGCCCCGCTGATGTTAAGCTACGTCGAGGCATACTGGTCGTCAAGGTTGAATGTCCTTTTCTACACGGGTGTGACATGGGCCCTGAGGTGTTGACTCCCTGAATTCTGGTGCCCGAATGCTGAGCCAGGTAATTCTGCATGCAAGCAGTGTAGAGCAAAGTGGAGATGCAAAGCCAAAGGCACTGGAGGAAAGGGTGCTTTGAAGCTTTAACGGCTGTTACTTGTTCGTACTCGAGGGCGTGCTTTCTAAGCACTCGGAGGGGTAGAATTACGTCCAAGATATTGAGACGAAGCCATCTCATAACTGGAGCACCTGCGTGAGAATTGCTGCTTGGCGGTGGGTCCCACCACGGCCGGCTGCAATTGCCAGGCGTGAGGGCATCTTTCGCAAGAGCATGTACCAATCAAGAGTGACGCAGTGGTTGCACACACTGGAGCACAAGGGCACCTGAACGTGCTATGATTCGGAGTTCAACCTGTGGGATTTGTCTCCAGCAGTCTTGGAAACTGAGACGGTTCTTGGCAACACCTGAGCACCACGGCCAGTCTGCAGCCTCACTCCCATGTCCCTCGTGGCGCCATTAGGAGGTCGGGACCGTTGGGCCAAGACCTCGACCCTTGTGACTTCATCGAGCGGTATTGGAGAGGCTCATGTTCTGGATACGGGTCATACGGAAGGTGCTGGATGAAGCGGTTTGCCCAACATGCGCCCGGTCCATGACTTTTGTAGTTGGACGATCGCCGTTCTGAATCAAAGCATGGTTTTGCTCTCGGCTTGCACGTGCTTCGGTGTGGACCTCAGTGTCTTGATGTGGCAGAGCCGAGGTGCTGGCTGTCCTTGCCATGATTGTTTTCGAGAAGTACTCAGGGATGCTGCTTGTGAACCTCGCCGGAGCCTCAACGAGCCGGGATGCTGAGTCTCACAAGACGCAATTGTAATTTTCGGCATGAGGGCACAGATCGCACTTGATCAAGGTCATCTCCGGGGGCAAGATCGCCGCGGTTTTCATCCTGAGGCAGATCATCGGGCCGGCCACTGAAGGTTGTGTGTTGCTCCAGAGCTTCCCCGGCGTGGCTTATTTATAGTGCCGTCCCCCCCCCCCGTCAGAGACAACCTGCCTGCAGCTGTCGAGGTCGGGCAGGCTGTACCTGGTGGATCCCGTCACGTGCGCTGCTTTTCTAGCTGGGGGCCCCAGCCCGGCCCGGCTCCGGACCCTTTACCGTTACCGGAGAGCAGAAACGCCTTCTGAGGCCAGCTATAGCGACCACCTTAGCTGGGGCCCTGGGCGTGGCATGGGCTTAAGTTGTGACTTAATGCACCAGCGCAGCCAGGCAAGGACACGCTCCACAGAGTCGCCGAGAGGGGCTTGGCAGACTACCTGGCCGCGCTGCTCAGCGCTGGATTCGACAAGGCTCCAAGCCTGGTGGGAATTTGCAAACACGAGCGCCTTCAAAGAAGGATCAAAGCCCTGCAGCCTCAATGTGTCATATTATGGTGTTGACGGCGCGGGTGTGATCAAACCATACTCCGATGGCCCAGTAGCCGACCCCTCTTCCCCCTCTGGCCGTAGTTTTCAACGTGGGGCAGATGTGTATTTGGCTTCTGAGCTTAGAAGGGTTTTCTTGTGTGTTCTCTTTTCCGATCCTTCTTGAACAGCACGGCTGTCCTTCGCTTGAAGCAGTGATGAAATGCACCGGCAAGCCGATGCAATCTCATCTGTAGGCGAAGGAAGAAGAGGGAGCAGCAAGCGCTGCACTGCTGAACACAGGCAGTTTATGTGTCACAGCGAAGAATTCCGCGCCCCTTGCAGATGCACCCCAGCCTTCGAAACCCCGTCCTCGGTGCTCTGAGTCCCCTGCTGAGCTTGAGCCTGCCAGGACGCACAGGCACAGAAAGAGGACCGCGACTCGAGTTTTCGGAGTGGCGGCGCTCTGCCCAGCTGTTGTGTGTGGGGGGGGCGATTATTACTCTTCCATATACATGAAGAATGCGAGCAGTGCAAACCAAATGCAAAAACGGGACGACAGAGTGATTCGAGGCAATGCAAAGAGGCCTTCGAGGCACCCTCGAAGCCTCCGCCAAAGCCGAGGCGACACGCCGCTGCACCGCGCCGCGCTCGTCGGCCATGCCGGGTGCGTGGACTTGCTGTTGAAAGCCGGTGCCAAGAAGGTGCGCCCGGCAGGAGTGGCTTCCCGGGGTTTTGGGGAGGCAAGAAGTGGCAGGGGTCTTGAGCGGCCAGGAGGACTCGTAAGGCAGGCTTGTCATATGATTTTTGCGTTGGATAGAGAGGCCGCAGTGAGCGATCCCGTTATGGCGCGGACGGCGCATCGTGCACGCCTTCTCGAGCTAAAGTTCCCAAAACTCTCTGGCCCGACCTGTTCCCCGCAAAAAGCGAATGGCACTCATGGCTTGGTGTCGGAGGGGCTATCGGGGTTCGAGACATCTGCCGAGATGAGACTGCAGCAGCTTCACGAATCGCCGCTTTGAAGCAGGGTCTTTGCACTGGGGAGCAGGTCCCGGCAAACTTTGGCAAAGCCCCCTGTCCACTGTCCTGCATCAACCTGCCCAGCAAGCAAGCGAATTGCCCGGCCTAGGAAGGCTCGTTGTTGAGGGCTTTCGGGCTTTGAGGTTCCCATGCCCAGAGTACAGCAAAAATCCGAAGTCCTATGCTGATGTGTAGGGCGGGGCTAGGTGGAACGCAGAATAACGCAGAGCCTAATGCTGCCTAGCTGATGCAGACGATGGATTTGGAGAAGCTCCGAGCACGCGACCCCGAGCCCTCCAGGAACTGAAAGATTACCGCAGCGGCCTGCGACTGAATGCTGGGCGGTGGATCGAAATTTGCGCAGGCTTTGTGTTCTGTGTGACCGTAGCTTCCGATTCAGGGGAGGCCATGCCTCTCCAGCCACACTCCGAGCTGTTTCGGGGGTGATTCTTCCGCTCTGTTTTCATGTACACGATGCAAAACCCAGCCCAGTATCATTGTCGTGTCGGGTTTCTGGAGCATGCGAGGGGCTGGCTCTGCAGTGCAAACCACTTGCAGGAAATTCGACAGCAGAAACATTGTAAGACTCTGGAAGGGAGCAAGCGCGGAACGCTCGTCGAACAACATCCGTGCTTTTAGAAGTGGCGGAAGTATGCAGAGCATAGGCGGCTCCGTGCGCTTGTGTGGGGTGGAATTTCCGGTAGCATGTGCCGCCCGAAAACCTATCAGTAGTTCTTCAGCGAAGGGGCTCCTCCACGCTCGCGGGCCATCTCAGGTCTTTTAAGAGGGATCTCCGGGCCGAGGCCGTACGGCTCTCCACTCTCATATGCTCATCAAGACTTGCATTTGGATAACTCCTTTTCTTTTCTTCCAGCCTTAGCTGAAGATATCACCAGCAAAAATTTTGCAGCCCAAGAGGGCGAGCTATGAACATAGAGCTCATTTTTATTGGTGTCAAAATTGTTATCATCATTGTTGTTACCAGTATCATGGTTGTACTAGTATTATTGCTGTTATAGCTATTGTTAGCCTTATTGTTGCTTCAGTATTCGTAGGAACGGCCTGCAGGTCCTTGCCCCGACGCGAGAACTCGCCAAGCAGATCGAGAGAGCCGGGCACCCTTCTATTGCATCCAGAATATTGCTATTAACTCATTTCGATAAAGTTGCCAGCCAAAGGCCGAAGGCACGTGACGATGCATCATTCAAAGCTGGGTTCGTAAGTGACTAAGTATGAGGCCCTGAGGTTTGCAGCAGCCCCAAGCACACGGACAGCACGTATAGCAGTTTGCCGCATTCAGGGCGCCCTTTGTAATCTGGATCCTCGGCTCTGTCTGTCGATCTCAGGTCTGCCAGAAGTATGGGTCGCCCGTGCCCCAGAGATGAAACATGGGATTCAAACATCGCTGGAGGAACCGAGGTACTCCTAACTGCTCTGAGCTGTGCGTTGGAATGGTGGATGTTGTGACGAGAAAAGAGTGTCGCGTTGCTCGAGGCTGAAACGGCTTGCGTCAGCCACCATTGTTGGTGGCATGAAGGCGAGCGAGCACAATGTGCTCGCTCGCCTTCATGCCACCAACAATCTTCAGGCGAGTTCCTTGAAATCCAGTCAGGTCCATAAGCTTCCGGGGTGCTTCATGAAAACGTGCAGCTCTGGCTTCCTCCATTAAGATTTCGGTGTTGGTTACGCACTTGATGGCACGACTGTTTTCGGAGGCTGCGCTTGCTTGAGAGTGTTTACTACAGCAGAGGGCTTCCTTCACGATCCATCGACACGCGAGCCAGGCCAGGAACCACATCATTGTGGCCACTCCCGGTCGATTCCTTCAGGCCCGGAGAGGGGCGCGGCACAGTCTGCAAGCCCATGAACAACTAAGAAAACCCGAGTATGCCGTTTTGTCTCAGGCGCTTGGCTCTAAATGGACAAGGCTGAATCGCTGCACGCCCGGAGACTTGGGCGACTCAGATCGGGCGACGCAGACCAGTGGTGCATGGGTTAGAGGGTGGTAAGAGTGCTCGGACTCCACAGAAGACACGGTTGAGAAAGATCTAGAGTATTGCAATGCTAATCATCTTTACCATGCATGGTATGAAGCTGCAAACCTTGATGTTCCGAGGTACGTCGTCTTGGATGAAGCTGACGAACTGCTTGTTCACAAGGGCCTCGGCGATGTGATCAGGCACGAGCTCTGCAATTCTCCTCTGGTGCATACTCTCTTGAGAAGCAGTGATATTGCTTCGTTTGCCTTCATTGGTGTTGGGTGTCTTAAGAGTTGTATGGCTGCGACATGTTCTGCACAGTGCGTGAACCTGAAAACCAACGGATGTGTGGATATCTTGACAGCCTCTTCGCCAGGGAAATACTGACGCAGGTGGGAGCCTTGGACGCTGCCATCGTGAAGTCAGCAAAGGTTACACTGCATGCAAGTACAGATTGCCGGAGTCACTGGACTTGGAGTCAAGAAGACTTCCACATCAGTAGATGTCTTCTCCTCACGCGCGAAGCTTGCGTCATGCAGGTGCACAAGGAGCGGCAAGTCCTTATGTTCACTGCTACTGGGCCCGAGGCCCTCCGAGCATGATCGACGTGCCATGATAAAGCTTGCGGTCAGCACAAGCCTGCTCTTGTTTCTCGGAATTCGGCAGGCAGTGAAGCAGGTTGCGCAAGAGCACCACGCCCGCAGAAGCTTCGATTCGGGTTTGGTGTCGGGGTCCAGAGAGGAGCTGTGCATGAGCTTCATTTTTGACATGCTGTACGGCACGATGTGGCGAGAGTTCAGATATCTTGTGCCAGCTCGCTACATGACACTGAGTCGCGGTTGTCATTGCATGGACTTAGGATATGCACTGCGTCAGGGGGCCGACCACCCGCAGCAGACTCGGTGTTCAAGTCCTGTGTGTCATCTCACATCTAGGGGATGTATGAAAGCAGCTGGCAATGCAGTGGTGCAGTTGGAGTCGATGCTTTCATATCAAGATGGGATTCAAACCAAGCTCAGGTGTAGTGCTGTGTCCGGGAAGCCAGCGTTGGAGGAACCAAAGTACTCGTAACTGCTCTGAGCTGTGCGTTGGTCAAACCCCTCTCTCCTTCCTCTCCTCCCCACACCTCCTCCCCGCCAGCGGGTGCTCATACTGCGCCCCAACGCATTGCCGAGAGGTCGTGCTTTCGTCTGGAGTCGGTCCCGGACACGCCGCGCCAAATGGTTGGCAAAAGTCTGGCAGTGCAGAGCGTGTGATGCTCCCCGGAACCCCAACCCACCAACTGTGATCTTAAGCATTCGCAGGGCTCCTCAAGATGCTTGTATGTATAATTATGTAAAGGCGAGGTATGCATCCTCCGGACATGGATTGGACGCCACGTGGGTCCAAAGCAGGTGGATATGACAGGAACAACCTGCAGCTGTTGCAGCTTCCCGGAGTAGTTGATGGTGCCCTGACTGAGCAGGGACATTGTGTTTACATTGCCTTTGTGGCTCACGACGTGTCACACATGAGAATAAGCAAACAAATATGGTGAGACTCAAGTTGCTGTGTCATTTTGTGTACAAGTCTGGCTACGATCTGAGCCATGATGGCCATTGATGTGCAGACTCCCTTTGCCAGCCCACGCAAAGGCAGCGCAGAATAGACTTGTTGGGTCAGGTGTACAGTTGCAACGTCCTTTTCAGCCTTCAGACCTCCGACAGATGTTCAATCCACTAATGAGTGAATTGTCCACGGGGCTTTAGGGTTTGGGGGTTTGGGCAAACCTAAACCCTGTAGGCCCTAAAGCCATGAAGTGCAAACTTCACCTCTGCGCTTGAAGCTCCGGTCATGAAAAATCGAAGGTGCAAAGAATCGCTGCCGAACCCCCAGACTCTAGACCTCTCATGCAAAGTATGAAGTCGTAGACCCTTGACCTGAAGCCCATCCGCGCCGTGTCCACAGAAAACCCAAACCCTGAAATGCGAATACCAGCTTGCAGGCAAGCGTGACATGCGGGCCGAGTTGGCAGCCTGGCAGGCCAGTGTTAAGCCTCGAACGGGGGCTTTGAGGTTCAGGATTCAGGGGTTGACTGGAGGTTTAGGATGCAATGTTGAAAGTCGGACGCCTTTGGGGCTTAATTTACGGGACTCTAGATCTCTTAGTGTTTCGGGCCTACTCGGCTCAGTTTTTGGGGTACAGGGGTTTTGGGCTTACGCCCGGGCCAGCTCGTGAGGTTCATGGTTTGGGGTAGGGTTCATTATGGATGCTGCCGTGGGCCGTTGAGGTCGGGTGGAGATGTGTAGGTCAAGGGGCCTTGGGGATGTGAGCCGGCAGCCGAAACTTAGTAAAGTCTAGACCTGTCCCAGCCCTTTTCAGACTCTATTGTTCAGAGGCGGCTCAGCGATCTCAGCAGCGCCAGGCCTGTTGAGGGCTTCACGGGGGCTTTGTGTTTTGTGCTACGGCCCTTTTTAAAGCCTGAGCCTAAGCCCGCAGCCCGAAGCAGCTTGGAACTGCAAAGCTCAGAGCAGGCAGTCGGTGTTGAACATCGGCGCCAAGCTCACTCTGTATCCCAGCATTGAACTTGTATTCCCACAGCTTCCACCACTCGGGAAGCCTTTTGAAAAGGGCCTGCGTTTTGACTCGACCGAAATTCGAGGAGAACGAGCAAAGCAGCTCGACACCCAGGCCCGAAAACCGAAAGCCCGAAATCTGTCCTTGCAGGTTCCACGAATCCCGCTTCAGCTGTCACCGCCAGGCCCATGGCTTGAAGATTCGTGGGCTTGGGAGCCTATCCTCCCGGTAAGAGATCCCGAACCCTCGACTCACGACCCTCACCCTCGTATCCTAAACAATCAGCCCCAACCCCCCCCCGTTGCCAAAATGGAGCGCAGGGCCGGTGCAGGCAGCGCGCCTGGATCGCAGCCCAGGTGCCTTGGTGATCGTGATAAAGGCGTTGATGCTGATCATAGCCTGTTGTTTCATCACGTAGTAGCACCAGTAGCAGCAGCAGCGGGAGGTGGTCGTGGTCGTCGTCCTGGTCGTCGTGGTGGTCGCAATCGTAGTCGTAGAATGTGTGGTCGCAGAAGTCGTCGTCGTTGTAGTGGTGGTGGTGGTGGTCGTGGTCGTCGTGGCTGTGGCAGGGGCTGTGTTAATGGTAGTGGTCGTGGTAGTAGTGGTTGTAGTGGCGGGGTGGCGATGGTGGTGGTGGTGGCGGTGGTGGTGGTGGCGGCGGCGGCGATGGTGGTGGTGGTGGTGGTGGTGGTGGTGGTCGTGGCGGTGGCAGTAGTAGTAGTAGTAGTCGTCGTCGTCGTCGTAGTGATGGTGGTGGTGGCGGTGGTAGGTGTGGTGGTTGGTGTTGGTTACTGTTGTTGCTGGTGTTGGTGGCGGAGTTGGTGTTGGCTGTTGGTGTTGCTGTCGTTGGTGGTAGTGGTTGTTGTTGTGGTGGTGGTGGTCGTCGTCGTGGTCGTCACCCCCCACTGCCGC